TGCGGCCTATATTCATAGTGAATCAGTGTGCCAGCCGGCATCATCGCATTAGCATTTGTTTCTTAGTTACGGGCGTTTTGGTAGTGCGATTTCGGAATGGCGTGTGCATCAAATTTTGCCAAAGACTCGCCAAAACGGCTACGGGAACCTATGGAATGCTAAAGCCAGCATTTGGGGAGTCCGCAATGGGTCGTGCACAAACTTTTGTGTGGCATTCACGTTTTAAAAATGGCCGAACCTCTGTCGATGATGACGAGCGTTCTGGACGACCATCTTCGAGCACAACGCCCGAAAATGTTACGAAGATCGACGTCGTACCATCAACGACTTGTGCGACATTGTTGGGATAGGCTATGGGACCTGTCAGCTGATTCTAAGGGAAGAACTCCACATGCGACGCATCATGACAACGCACCAGCGCACACCGCCTTCAAAGTTCGGCAGTTTTTGGCCTCAGACACCATGGCCGTCATCCCACACCATCCTTATTCGTCGTGTGACTTCTTCCTCTTCCCAAAGTTGAAAATTCAGCTAAAGGGAAGGAGATTTGAGACGATAGGAGAGATTCAGGCAGAATCGCAGATGGTGCTTGAGAGGCTGACAAAGAAAGATTTCCAGGGATGCTTCCAGGCTTGGCAGCGGCGCTGGGATCGTTGTGTTCACTCCCAGGGGAACTACTTCGAGGGTGATGGATGAATTTAATACCTGAGATAAGTGTACGGGTTTTTATACGCGCAGTCTGGAAACCTTTCGATCGCACCTCGTATCTACCAGACTACAAAGTTCAACATCCCAAAAGACAACCATCTTCAATGACCAGCGACACAGATGTGCACTGGTTCGGGTCTCGGGGAAAGAAATTTCTCATGAGATTTTCGACCGGTGTATGGGACTTAGCATCGTGAGGAAATTGGGGAGCTACAATGGGTAGCGTAACCCGGTCAGGAAAACTAGCAATGGCTGAGGGTTCGTCGTGCTGACCACACGTCACCGTATAACTGGTTGGATGATCGTTCACCTCTGCTTATGCCAGCAGCCAGCTAGTCGGCTTTGGCTCTCAGAGGGCTGGTACACCATGGATTTAATTTAATTTAGTATTTCCTTATGCAGAAAATGTACCAAATTTACTTAGGAATATCAGAATGATCCAATAATGCTCAAGTTATTTAGCATAACCAAAAGTGAAAAAAAAATAAGTGAAATGGAAGAAGACAAATTCCAGCTTACATGGGGGTAAAAGCATGATAGAGGCCTGTAAGTTCATCCAACTCTTTACGTTCCACATAACCTGTGCAGTTAAGACAGCATCATTAAACAAACTAAGAATGAACAATGTTATGGGAAGAATAAGTGATGGCTAAGATTTTGACATTCCAGTATCACAGTGCACTTCAAATACATTAAAATATCAAAATTTTTGTGTACCCACATCTATAACAATGGAAGATGTAACTTGCGTGGTGTTGTACTCTCAACCTGTGGAACATGGCTCAACAGGCCAGCTCTCGTTTGGGGCGATCTCCGCTAGGGAGTGTGTTTGCAGCAGCGCTGTCCAGTTCACTGCGTAGCGCAAACACTGGCTGAATGTCAAATTTGACTTTTCCTACGAACAACAGAAAAAACATCAGTGTTACTGAAACCCTGTTTACTTACTTAAATGAAACCTGACAAAATGTTCTTCTGTGGGAAATCGTTATCACCACGGAGGCAAATTAAATTGAATTAACAAGTAAATGATAAGGTGGCCTTATCCGTGTTAAGTAGTAAATGCCATGAATACATCGGGAATAAAGATAAAACTCCACGCATTTTAGGACATTTCGTTATGGAGACGGCTAATAAGCTTATGTTCTAGTTACTTTACCCCTATCGATGAAGCCCCAGTATCTAGAGACAGAGGGCAGGCTGTCTAAAGGTAATGGCAAAAAGAAAATTCTTACCCCTGCTAGGAAGATCACTCAGCTGTTCAACCAAATTTTACATGCACAGCCAATACAGTGCATGAATTAGTAACATAATACAATAATACATCTATATTTCAGGTGACCACGAAATCAATTTCACAAATTTGCATATTTTTCATATTAGATCGATACCTACCAAAGTTAAATTCTCACAGTGACTTTTAGTGTGAACACTAAACTCCAAATTACTTTCAAATCCGTTGGCTAGTTTTGGAGATAGAAAATAGAGGACAATCAGACCCCCCCCTTCCCAGGATTTATGCAAAAGGACGCAAAAGTACTCGGAAAGAATATTTGAATGATAACACAAAGGACAAAATACTGACGTGGTCCTCGGATTTCCCATCTGCGAGCCTGAATCAGCAACCTTTACATCTTTTCTCAACCTAGGCCTAGACAGAGTTCAGATTCGCCCATGAGACCGTCTGCTATCCGCTACATCACCGTATCGATTGAAGGCAACCACATAATCTCATTATCGACCCCGCAAGGCTTCGTTTTAGAGGAAACAGGAAAGACGGATGGGGAAAGGGGAAAACTCTGTATTCTTACACATAATACTTTTCTTGCTGGAATGTCAACAAAAATAATGACTAATAATTTCTACTGCATTTTGCACGTAAAAATTCGTATCCCTTTCCCTATATAAGCAGCAAATTGAAGAGATACAATCAATCATGCAACTTGTTTAGTTCAGTCTGTACGGGCTAGATGACAAGTTCGTTTCCAGGTGGAAGCTATCGATTTTTCTCTTAACCTCTGGATCCAGACCGAAGCTGAAAACCCCTAACCCAACAGGTGCCGTGGGAGCTTCCCAAGGGGATAAAGCGGTCGGGGCGTGAAGCTGGCAGCTTATTACCTTCAGATGTCAAGAGTGGAGCTGTTACACAAGTACTTCACACGTCTTCATGGCGCTGAGTTTAAGTAGTATCAAGAGACCATTACCTTTAAAAGTAAACTTCTTTTATTACGCAACGTGAATGGTACTCTTTTCATATTATTTTACAATTGACGTTTCTTCTAGTGAGTGCCTTAAAATGGAACTATCACTTCACCCCCAATTCCCCGTCATTTTTTGTAACCATTTTTATACGTTTTTCTGCTCTCCAAAGACGTGGAAATTCCACAGCGACAAGTCTGTACTGTAGGAAGGGTGCTCTAGGACTTTTGGGTGGGAGATTCTGGGACAACCCCCAACCAGCTCAGATTTCCACGTTTGATGGCCAACGTGTTTCGACAGAATACAGGAGGCGTTGATAGACATTCAGCTACCGCAGTCTTTCAACGAGAATGACATCAACAGGCTTGTGAGACGATGGGATAAATGTCTTAACTCTGGCTACTGCTTCTAAATAAAGGTCAAAGGTTATGGTTATTCATAAAATCACATTGGCTCCTTTTCATTTGAATCACCCTTTGTACAATATACCCGAAATGGTGATGCGGACTGTTGTGAGATTTGTGGTTTACACGGCAGTTATGATGATTATAATGTTCTGGGTTTGGACGCTGTGAAGACTTGTAGTTACAAACCAAAGTTTCGGAAAACATCCTGTCTCCATCATCAGGGCTCAAGATGGATAACTTATATTTCTTCAAAACGCTGACCTCAAACTACGACTCTAAACATAAGACATAATAAGACGCTGAAATCCAGAAGAACATCATCATGCGGTTTCTTGTTTGATGTCGGAACCAAAAGTTTAAATATTAGACTAGCATCATCCTTCGAAGTGTTAAAATACAGGCAATATACTTCGATGGCCTGGTGTATTTTTTGTGTTCGCATATATATGAAGTTCTTACCTTTATGTTACGATATACACTTCATCGTTTGTAACTGAAAAAAACACCAGAAGTGGGGAAGGAGGTCCGCGGAATATCTGTGCCCTGCCAAAGAGGTTCATAAAGATAGACAGATTACTCGAAGATTTGTTTCCTCGTCAACTGACAAAGGTTTATTATATAAATAACTTACCTCAATGGGAATAGCAAGTTGTCTGCGGTCCTGGGGACTTCTACCGGGCAGGTCCATGAACTCACGCACATGGCACCAGTGATCGGGGACATCAGCCATGAACAACTGGTTGAAGGCAAAGAAGCCACACGGTACGCAAGCGGGAAGACAAACTAGCCACAGCAACAGCTTCTGATAGTGTCCAAACTCCCCCACATGAGGCAAGATGTCGTCCAAGTCCATGCCATCCTACGGCCTACCGGGCAGGTCCATGAACTCACGCACATGGCACCAGTGATCGGGGACATCAGCCATGAACAACTGGTTGAAGGCAAAGAAGCCACACGGTACGCAAGCGGGAAGACAAACTAGCCACAGCAACAGCTTCTGATAGTGTCCAAACTCCCCCACATGAGGCAAGATGTCGTCCAAGTCCATGCCATCCTACGGCCAGAACAGCATCACACTACACAACACAGCGTCGTCTGCACCTATTTCTTTTAAACGGGCCAGTAGCAGCTCGAGAAGTTCGGTTTAAATCACGGCTCTAACATTCGTCTCCCGTTGTACTTGTACACCCGTTAACATAGTATGGTACAACTAAATGTTATTAGTTACATTAATTATTATCACTAATTAAATTACAGGCAGGGCCGTAGTTGACGGAGTATGCATTTCTTGGAACTTTCAAAAGCTACACAGTTATTAGAGCTTCTTTAATATATGACGTGTTTGAAGCGGGAAAGTCAGCCTCTTCAAATAGCTTTGACTTTTGAAACTGCATCCCTGATTACAGGAATTCATAAGCTTGACACAATTACCTTGGCGACCGCTCACCTCGTTACGGAAAAATGACTATGGAACATGTGTAGCGTAGTGTGATTAGCTTTGTGATAATGTGTATCACTGGTCCATCATGTCTGTAAAATCACAAAATGAAACATTACACAAATCTGAAAAGAGGATGTTCTTGAAAATGGTAGGAGTCTTGGGGTTTTGGAGACAAAATGAAATGCAACTTACAGTGACCTGTGTCCGCGGTCGAGCTTCATTCTGCTGCAACATTGCTGGGACTGACAATGCAAGACGAAGGAAGCCCTAGCAGTGCCTCTCCTGACTGTTCAGAAAACCCCTTCACTGGCATCCATTAGTCACAGTGTGAGTGTCACAGAACATAAATTCTTATATACGCTGTTTCAAGCGACACCTCACTCTATAGCCATCACTTACCCTGGTACTCACTTTATGTGCCTCTAGAACGCGGGCAAAGTAATTCCTGATAATCCCATGACAAATAAAAAGAACTTGCTGGGAAAGTGTATCATGCTGGTAGAATTTAATCCTTCAAGTACTTCTAAATCTTCAAGATAATTTTTATTCATCTGCATTACAGAATTGTTTTATCACCCTATGAAAAAAAAGTGCATTGGAGTATTCCAAAAAAATCTTTCTCAATAACTAGGCTACAGAAAGTTGCCAACATCATATTTTTATCATTGCTTTTAGGATGCACCTTCAAATTAACAAATTAAAGTGACGGACAATAATACGTTTAGCAAGAATAACGTAACTTATATACTTGAACCTTACATAGGGTTTTTTTTCCTTAATAATCATTGGCATATAAACAAGCAGCAGTAGCAACAGGAACGGGATTCAGGTTTAAGGATTCTTTCAGCGACCACTTTAGGGAAGGTCGTGGAGACTCGCGGGAACACAGAATGGATGGGTGGGATGAAACAAGCTTGCACATTACCTCTGTCATGGCACACAACACACAACTCTCGCACAAGCATCCATAAAAAAATAACACATTCACACACACCGCCCCAAAAAGTAGAAACGATCACCAGGTTCATACAGTCTGTCATTTTTGTCGTTGGCAACTGAACTGTTTACACTTTTAACTGGCTTTAAAACACTCAAACACACTCATGCTCACAAGCATACAAGTAGCTCATTGATACAATGCAGATTACGTACTTCCATGCCGTTGGAAGGGTCGTGAACACACTTCGGCTGGCATGTGATTTATTCGCAGGCACACGCAGGGACGCAATTATCACACATCAGTCAGGAATAGATGAGGCGGTCCGAACCAAACCACTGCATCAAAGGCGGCGCTGATGGCCGCCTTGACTGGTGTTTTAAAAAATTAACTGCATCATTTACCTCACTGACCAAACTCAATGCTACAGCAGTTTTGAACGGACCTCCTCATATCACAGTTTTTTTTAAAGGTCAGTAAGTTACCTTGGATTCATATACTAGTGAAGTCACCTGAAATGAGGATTGCCGCTAGTTATCACTGCGACGATCACACAACGGAATAAATCGGTGACCCCACGCACACATATACAATGTTCTTAACCTACGTTACAATACCAACAAATCTCGGAAAAGATAAATGATGCAAATCAATAAAATAAACATGTCCATAACACATGAAAAATTGGAAGAAATTTTCAACAATATCATATTCAAAAACTTGGACTAAATTCAATAACCGAAAGTTTACAAAAATATTATTATACATTATTTAATGACGTCGTTACTTTAAATCTTTAAATTTGGGAAATAAACATACAATGCTTTACTTACCCCTGAAGTCTGGCCAAGGCAGGGAACTGACCTGACCTGACCTACACAACTGGGTTATAATTTTAGTGACTGGCTCTTTGATATCTCAATTAGGTCTGAGCCAATGGAAAAAAGATCCACATCATCTTTTTATCTAAAGGCACTTCAATCATTGGAATTTAAACATCTGAAATAATACACAATTAGTACTGGTAACAGAGTGAAGTGCCTTTCTGCTTAACTGGCAAAGCACTTCAACTCTTGGTAACAAATTTGACCAGTAGGATATGTCAGTTGCACTGCAACATTATCTTCTTTTCCTCAGCTGGAAAATATTATTTTTAAAAAGTTTATAGAATTTCCTGAGCAAGAAAAAACACGTGTGCCGAAAATTCAGCAGAGGAAGAAATTGACATGTGTCGAATGGGAATTTTCCTTAAGGCGGTAGACGAGTTCTTTCCATTATTTATTTAAAAGTGACGGTGAACTGGAATTTGCCTCACGCATCTTCTTCCATTCCCTCAACATACTGCCTTGCTTCGTTCATTCGCCCTGCCCGCTGGCAGTTCGGTCGTGTTGCGTCGCGTCCGTCGGTCCGAAGTCTTCATCACACACGCAGCAGTCAGCACAGCACATTCGCGCACAGCAGCATGTGCGTCCCTCCTCACACACCCAGCAGTCAGTCACTACTAAACTACACGTGCACGCTCGCTCGAACGCTCATCGATCGCACACACTTTGCT